CGGGGGCGGCCCGGCCGACGTGCCCCCGGCGACAGTCGCGGCCTCCCCGCCGCCTCCTAGCTCTGCGCTCTTTCCCCTGCTCCCACCCTTCCTCCCCTCTCTCCTCCCCTCAGCCCTCCGCGCATTCTCTCTCCACCCCTCCCGGCTCTCCACCCCCACTCGCTCCTCCCGGCTTCCTGCCTTCTCTCTTTTGGCCTCGCTCACCACCCTGGGGCCACCCTTTCCCGCTGGCGCCGGACTCCAAGCTCGGATTCCTTGCTCCTCGGGGCTGGGCGGAAGGCACCGCACCCCCAGCCCACCGCAGGCCTTCTGCTCCATCCAGCTGGGGCGAAGTTGGCCACGTCTGGGGCCGCCCTGCCTCACCGGCTCCCCTCCAGCCTTGGAGGGAAAGCTGTTTTCTGGAGCGTTCCTCCAGTGTCTGGCTGGGCCCTGACCTCTCTCCTTCCTCCTGTTTAGCGCCACTGAGGCCTCCCGGCCCTTCCTTGGCGCTGGAGGGGAGCTGTGCTGGTCTTGAACTGACATCTGTTCTCACCTGGTCGTCAGTCGTATCCTGCCAGTGCCCACCTCAAACTTCTCCTGTCCAAAGCTGGGCTCAGGCTTTGCCTCAGCCCTCCTAGTTTTCCATGTCAGAAAAGGGACGTGACCCACCTGAGGCTCCACTGGCCCACATACCACAAAGTCCAATTGTTGTAGGCAGTTAGACAGACATGAGCAGAGCAAGGACCTGGGTCAGGTACAAAAGGTCACCAGGGAGAAAAGCCCTGGGTGCCTAACAAGGAGCAAAACTGGGAAAACAAGAACCTCGCCCCCAGGGTAACCTTTCCTTCCCTAGCGATAGCTTGTCACACAGTCTAGACCCCACCCCCCATCTCGCACCCTGACCTTTTCCTCCCTAAAAATAACAGCTAGGCCTCAGTTGTATTTTAGCTCCAGGCCCAAAAAAGCGGCAAAACCAGACAAGTGGCTGCCTCAGGACCAGCTGCATTGACTAATGACCTCCTGCCCTGGCACCTACCAATCAGTAGAGACCATGACCCCGAAAGAGCACACCTGGAAAGCTGATGAATATTCTATTGTGACCCTCCCCTGAGACAGCCCCTAAGATTCCCACCTGAGGGGGGGGGAAGATGCCTTCAACACAAAGGACCCAGCCAGCCCTCTCTGTGCCGGGAGCATGCCTCTGCCATTCCTTTCTTTCCCCCTCTCCTTCCCCCACAGACACACATCTCCTAAATTCTAAGAGATTTGCAACCCCGGGAGCAGTGGGCAGCGGCAGCTCATCCCAGGCTAACCCCCTGAACTGTCTCCAAGGCCCCCTTGTCCCTGACTTCCCAGTGAGCCAGAGCAGCCCAGCCTGGGCTCTCCTGTGGCTTCCTCTATGCCCTTCCTTGTGTCACTGTCCTAAGTGTGTTTTTGCTGAACAGCTAGACAACATGGCCTGTAATGGGACCTACTGATGCTTTACATTATTATTATTACTATGCTTTACATGTATTCTCATTTGAGCCTCAAAACAACCCAGGTGATATATACAATTAGTTTCCTCATTTACTGAGGAGGAAAATGAAGCCTAGAGGGGTTGATACCACAAAACTGGTCATTGCAGCTGGTCTCTCCTCTCTCTCCTTTGATCCAGCCTTCGCGTGCTGTGGCATCTTTCTAAAACACAGGCCCGGTTGCTTATTGCACTGCTTTCCAACAGACCGGGGGACAGGGCTTTATCTCTTCTACGAGCATATTTCATAACCTAGCCCCAACCGACTTCCCGTTTCCTGAGTTTCCGCTTCCTTTCTTTGCCCATGATCCCAATCAGCATGTCAACCCTATCAAACGTCTTAAGTTTCCCAAATAAGCTCAGAATGCCCTTCATTCCCAGACCTCACCTGGCTGGCACACTCCTATTTACCCTTATCCTTCAATGCCCAGTTTAAATGCCCCTCCCTTTGGTCCAGCCTCCCAGACTGTTGATTGCTGGCTCTTCTGAGCCCCCACTTGGAGCATGGTCTGCAGTAGTTCTGAGTCGGCTACATTGTAACCACTGGTTATTCGGCCTTTCCATCTTCGCCTGTGCCTGGCACATAGGTGACTCAGTAAATGTCAGTGGAGTGGATGGCTGAGTGGCTGCAGAAACAGCAATGGACCTGAGAGGGCCCTCTTACCCTGGGGACTGTGTATGCATCAGAGCCCCAGTTAATCTTATTCTACAGAACTAGTCTCTCATCTCCTGGTCATGGAATGAGTCCATGACCTCTGGCCTGGCAGAGCTGGTCCCTATTCCAGCAGCCTGGTTCCCCTTAGGGGAGAAAAAGTATGTGGCTTCTCAGGGAACTATTGCCTCTCACTGCCAACACAGCCCTACCTACCGATACTGAGCAAGCTCTGAATGCATATTTTGTTTTATTGATTGATTTCAGAGAGAAAGAAAGGCATCGATTTGTTGTTCCACTTATTTAAGCATTCATTGGTTGCTTCCTGTATGTGCCCTGACCTGGGATCAAACCTCAACCTTGGCATATCGGGACGATGCTCTAACCAACTGTTACCCAGCCAGGGCTGAATGCATATTTTAAATAAACATATGGTGACTTATAACATTCATATCTATGTAAGGCATCATGGTGTAGAGGCTCCTGGTGCAGGCCCTGGAGGAGACTGCTTCATCACTCGCTAGTGCTGGGACCTCTTTGTGCCTCAGTTTTCTCACTGGTGAAATCCTTTCAGCAAATGGATATTAAGTACCTATTAAGTGCTGGGCATTGTTTTAGGGGCTAAGGATACATAATATATATGTGATCATTATAAATTGAATGCTTACTGTACACTAGGCACTATGATGAGCCTTTTATATTAATTGTTCTACCTAAATCTTACAACGGCTCTATAAAATTACTGCTGCTAGCTCTGATTTGCTGATGGGGAAAGGAGGGCTTGGAAGGTTAAGGAAGTTGACCATGTTCACAGAATTGATGGGTGACAGTGTAAACAGGAGCCTGGGTGTGGCTGACTTCAGGTCCACATTCAAAAGTTCTTTTATATACTTTCCTATGTTGTGTTCTCAGTTGCTGTTACGGGGACCCAGAAAGGTTACATGACTTGCCCAAAGAAACACTACCAGTAAGTGTCAGTGTGGGGACTCAAACCTAGGTCGTCTGACCCCAATTCCAAAGCTTTTCCCTCAGCATCCCTTAACTCCCCTGGAGGGACATCCTCAGTGCCCACAGGGTGCAAATCTTGAGAAGAGCTGGGGCTAAGACAGGCAACTAAGGGCCAAATCTGGGTGCTTGACTGATGACAAACGATCGCTGTTAGTGGGGAACCTAACGGAATAAACATTTAGAGAATCCTCTCTTCTTAAAAAAAAAAAAAATCTGAAAAGTTGAGGGTAGGGCGCCACCTGGTGGGCATAGACCTTCAGCCTCACCAGCCAAGTCCTACTCCTTACAAGGAAGTCAATGCAGTGGCTTTGGGGAGATATTTTTAGCCTCTGGAATCCTAAAGACATTCCAAGGGGTGGTTCAGCAGACTCTCTGCAAAAGTGTAACCATGCACAAAGATCCTGATTCCTCCAACTCAACAAATATGGTCTAAGCACCTGCTGGATGCAAACAATCTGGCTGTAGAAAGAGAACCAACTGCCCTCAAAGTGTCGGCACTTTGCTGGTAGGGGAAGGACAGTTGTGGACACCAAAAAGAGGGACAGATGAGCACTATAAGGAAAATACAAAAGGGAAGAAGAAAGTGTGTGCGATACGAAGGCTGGGGAAAGCTACAAGAATGAAGTGTCATTTGAGGATGGATAGAATTTTGACAAGCAGAGATGGGGAGTGGGTATTATGAGTGAGGCAGTCCACCGTGGATTCTGAGCACCCCCGGATGTTATCACTGGGTATGCCAAGAATGCAAGGCCATGACTGCTCTTTCCCTGGCCGTTTCTGTGTTGTGTTTGCAGCCAACAGCTTTGAGGGATGAAGCAACATCTCCCAGACAAAGAACAGGCTTGCTTGCCGCTCACTATAAAAGTGGTTTGGTAAGAGAGGACAATGGTGGGCTTCCCAAGTTTGGTACTGCTCATCTATGATGCAAACCCCTGCATGTGTAACATCCACCTGGGCCCCTCTGTGTTTCCCCATGAAACTTGGAACAAGGGAAAGAGATGTAACTGTGACGCTCATGCTGCCTGTTGTGCCAGAAGTGGTAAGTCTTTTGTCTCTGGCTCAGCAATCCGTGTCTTCTGTCAATAAAACAATAGCAGGCCAGCTTATTAGTTTGTAAGCAGTGTAAACTCCAGCCCCTCACAGGTGT